TTTATTCGGAATTAGAAATTTATGTACTTCTCCTGTTCCCGAACACTTTGCGAAATTGAAAATACCTGATGAAAGGCGGAAAATGTTAATTAAAATGCACTATTGAAAACGACTCGACGGTTGCGTGAAGCTTTCAGAACCAAGAATATTTACTAGTATTGCTTCATAAAACATGATTAGTACTATAATTTCCAGCATAAAGCTTTTCTATATAAAGAAATACCTCATATAATGCGTCTTCGATCAGTTCGGTTCGAATTTTTTTAAAAGAAAATCAAGTTTAATTGAGCATAATAAAAATAAATTACTACACATTTTTGTATACATAAATCGTTTTCTATACAATCAAGATATTTTTTATGCGATTTTAGAGTCCTTGATTAGTCTGCGTTTCAGACATTTCGGGAACCGATTACCCGCACTATGTGTAGTTTTATAAAGAGTGTTCCGACAAGAGTGGAAAATCTATTTTTTTATGTTAATTTTATAAATTAAAAATAAATGTTAAATTATTATTGCTTGTACAGTTGAGTATTCGTGCGGTAATTATCGTTATACCAGATACAATGTTTCGATAAGGTATTCGAGTTCGCGTAAATTAAATTAGGATCGATGTTTGCAGCCACGATAATTATTTATCTTTTCAGCAGTCAGCAAAGGCACACAAATGTATAGAATTTAATTATAAATGGGGCTCACCACCAAATATGCCCATAAACCAATAATAATTAGAAACGCAGGATATTGCAACAAATTAAAATCCATTATGAATGCAACCATTGTATTTGAAAACTGAATGCTCGGACAATGATTTATCAATTCATATTATATAACGTCCTCTAAATAATACTATTATATGAAATTATTAATATTATAGGACGTAATTNCATACTTTTAGAAAATTAAGTGGTATTAAGTATTATTATTTTAGTCTTTTTTGTTTTTAGTTGTAAGTGGTTGTTAGGCAACTATATTAATGGCGCGTAAATAATTGTCATTATTTGCAATTGGCAAATGTCGAAAATAATTCACAGAAAAAAAATTGCAAATTTTATAGAAATTAAATAACACCCAAATGGCGAAATTTTATCAAAATTGTGTTGAATTGAAAGAAAGAAGTTCCAAATCAAGTAACTGACACTTAACCTGTGCATTGGTTCTTAACTCCTGTTTTGAAGTATAACAATTATCCGAAGACTCTAAATATAGAAACAATCGGTCTATATCGCAAACCCGACAACCGAAAGTCTATTAAAATCCCGACGTTCAAAATCCCGACTATATCAAAATCTCGACAACCATAATACCGACTGTATCAGAATCTCGACAACCATAATCCCGACTATATCGAAAATTTTTACAATAAGATTTTTAAATTATTTCGAAGCGTAGTCACCTCGTGCTATACTTTTATTATTAATAACAATAAATTATTATTAATTTATTTGATTTTGTTGAATTATTAATAATAAACCTTAACATTATGAAATAATCTGAAATACAATTAGATTATTAACAATTTAAAAGTCACTACGCTCCGGAATAATTCAAAAATGTTAATGTAAACATATAGTCGGGATTATGGTTGTCGGGATTTCTATACAGTCGAAATTTCGAACGGCGGGATTTCGAACGTCGGGAATTTGATTGACGGTATTTCGGTTGTCGGACTTGCGATTGCCACCGAGAAACAATATGTAATCGAAATTTCTTTAAATTTAAGAGTTGGAAATAGGAAAATGTTACATAATAATTTGGCTCATGTATTCTTGTACACTTTGTAATTATCGAACTGTATTTTTAGTTATAATTTTGTAATGTATTGTTCTTATATTTCTCATATTTCAATCAATGTTCTCAACGGATATGTCAAAAATGAAAGATTTAATTTATTTGGAAATGTTTTCATATCTTGTCATCATTTTTTCATCTGCACTCCATTGTCATAGTTACATACAATTTTACATTTGACATATGTCATTTTACAACATGGGATTCAATATTTAAGTTTTTAACCTATTATACGATATTACTATAGTATTTGTTACATTTTTCCTTCTAATTGGAATTTTAATCTAGAGCTCCTTCGGTTATATAAATATATGAAGATTCTATTCTATTTGCATTAATCACCCAACTAAGTTCTTCTTTAATAATACTTGCTGAACTTTCGAGACCTTTCAACTATAAAAATCCAGCTGACGCACCATTATGTATTTTGAAAAAACATTTGAGCTAAAAAAAATACTTTAAAACATTTAATTCAAATGGAAACCTCTCCGAAAAGTTGAATATAATTTAAATTGTTAATTGTAGTGTAATAATTTAAGAGCACAACTGCTCCAACGCTTCCCTTTATTTGCCCTACCGGATCTTAAATTCAGTGAACAATGGACAACATCTCATAATTCCATTCATTTAATCCTGCGCATATAAATCTTTCCAGTTTGCTTGAAACACGATATTAGTAGGTTCAAATAGTTCGAGAAGAAGACTTAAATTTGAACAACAGTTGGAATTTGTTTGCATAAAACAGAAGATAAAGGAGTAATGCCTTTTCTATAATTATTAAAGTATTTTAATTATATTTTTTAGTAACAAGCATCAGTAATTAAGTAAATATTGTTTATTTATAAAATATGTCTAATACTAATATAAAAATAAATTTAAATTAGAAATGTGTCACATGAATATTACATTTCAGTAGAATTGGTTTGTTAAATCTAGTTGAAAATACATGTAAATTCTTATTTAAAGTATTTTGAAAACTTAATTGCATAGTATAAATAGATAGTGAAGGGCAACTGAATGAACCACGAACTCTTGGTGATATATCACAATGGACAATTTCACCAGGGGTGTTGAAAATTTTATGTATTTTATGGTGCCCGAAGGTGTTTAGTTTTATTAATTATTTATACTATTCAGGTGCACTCAGGAATATGCTAAAATAACAATAAAAACTGTACGTCCGAGAAGCTATAATTCTTTCAGGCCTTCCGATAACGTTAGAAACTCGAGTGCAACACGCAATTTTCCAATAAACTTGTATATTTATGTACAGCATAGAAAACCTAATTGAGATTGTAAATACTTTCATTTATATTGTATGATTTAATTAAAATAATCATTTCGTTTTATTAGTTTAGTTTGAAATGCATTTATGTACAAAAAGCATTAAATATTTATTTTGTTCAATACCAAATACATGATTTGTTATTAAAAATGAATAAAATCACTAAATTTAGATTGCATGTTGTCTGGGGCAACTATGATTAATACAATATTTTTCTCTTATAATGAATGAAACTGCATTTATAATAAATTGTATACACTTCAACATAATCTTCTTAAATAAATACACACCAATTTCTTAGTAAATATTTACAACTACAAGCAATTATCAAGAACTGTTTCCAATTGATACATACCTGTAATTGGGTAACACTTAACAATAACCTTAACAATATCTACACAGCGCAATATACGAGAAGCAATGGAATTATGTATGAATGCGTTTAAAATTCTTTACCTTAATCGGAGTTGTGTGTCACATGAGGCTATTTAATAAACACCTTGGACTTCAAGTTGGTCATGAATCATAGCGATATTGACATGGATTGGACGCACCTGTCACCATAACAAAAATCGTATCTAGGTGGAAGGCGGCGTCGCGACGCCTTGACATTATAGGCAACACCTTCAACAGATCATTGAAACAATCTCAATGTTTATAGATATATTTCAATAAATTTAAATATAGATTAATATTTAATTGATCTCTGTAATATAAGTTTTAACAAATGTTTGATTTTTTATTGAATATTTAACAAATATATTGGTACCAATGTTAAATTTAAGAATTAAGAGACAATAAACCAATTTTTAAGAGTTTATTTAAACACGAGTTAAACGAATTTTTTTTTCCCCATATAAATAAACTATAAATTTATACAAATATACAAAGGAAATCTAGAAATATCTAACGATTTTTTTTATTAAAGAAATAGAATGAGTAAAATGAAAATAATTTCTTGAGAATATATTTATTTTAATAATTTTCTTATTACACAGTTGATATTATTTGAAATTTTAAATTATGGAAAGCGCTATCTTCTTAATATGGTTATTATAGGCAACTTTATATACATATATTCGAATTATGGATATTTATCTGTTCTATAAGAGTTACAAGTATTTCTCTAATTGTACAAAGGATCATAATCATTTAATCTTGTAAATAAAACAAACTATTGTATATATTTGGTTGAAATAAAATAAAAAGAAAAGTTAAAGTAATTATCTTATTTATTAAAAAAAAGAAAATATGTTAGTTATAATATTAAAAATGTTGCTGCAAATAAACAGTCTTTATAACAATAAATAATTTCGTTAATCCCTTATTACAAATATTGAATCAATAAAAAGTATATCACATCACATAAAGTATAAACGAGAATACTACCAAACTTCGCACTTCTTCTTCGGGTTCATCCTGCTGCCGATCGGACAGTTAAAGTCCCGAGAGAATTCCTTCAGATTGCTCATTGGTCCGATGACGCGGAAGTATCCAGGCGAATGTTGGAAGGTAAGTACGCGCAATTTTAAGGATTCAGGACGATATCTGGCGCACCAGGTGCGACCGGCCGAGACCCAGAACATCTGGTTGGGAGTGTAATCCAAACCAGGAAGTTTCTGTTCGTAATGGTTCCGTTTCACCCAATTCTGGTAAGCTAAATAAGCTTCTTTCAAACCACCGTTATCAGCAATATTTTCACCCTGTGTATTGATGCCGTTTAGCTAAAATAATACACACACATACCGATTATACATACAATAAGGAAACGGTTGACAGTTTGCTACGAAAAAGCAAAAGTAAATAGCTCAAAAAAAAATAAAAAATAATAATAGATAAGAAGATAATTATTAATAGTACAGCTTCAAGCGTGTTAGTTAGTTTGTACTCTAAATACTTTGACTTTGCATTATTTAATTATAACTACTTGTATATTTTGTGTTTATTCAATTACATAACATTTACATGTCAATTTAATTTCATTTTCACTTGGTAACTGTGATTCAAAGACAGCACATTCGAGAATTTGTTGTCTTCTATCTAACATTTAATTTAACAACTATTACTATTTACAGACAAATATATTAAGAAAGTCAATGCATTACAATTTTAGTTAATATTTCTTTTTTTTTTGTTTCGTTAATTAAGTCTTGTATATAAAATATAAATAAAAATTTAAATACTGTTTTCATTTACGTATTGCCAAACTACCAAACTCTGCATTTTGTCTTCGGATTCATTCGAGATCCTTCCGGACAACTGAAATCTTTGGAAAAGTAATCCATGTTTCTAAAGGATCCAAGGACTCGGTATTTATCTGGAGAGTGTTCGTCAGTAACGACCACTTGTCTCAGTTCTTCCGATCTCGTCTTCGCACACCAGACATTGGCAGCCGATATCCAGAATAATTGGCGACTATTATATTTTAGTCCAGGTAGTTTCGGTTCTGGACCATGCTTTTCAACCCACTTATTATACGCTAAGTAAGCTTCTTTAATACCACCGTTATCAGCGATATTTTCCCCTTGTGTGTTAATACCATTCAACTGAAATATATACGACAAATAGAAGCAATAGTGTTAGTCTGATGCGTAGGAATTACGATATAGTCTCAAAAGAAATTTAAGATTGCTCTAACATGCGTGTCTATACATAATAATATATACATCCCAATATACGCAAACTCTACGTTCTTGTTTACAATTAAAGCTTACTATGCAAACTACTACTCTCTACTATCAAATTGAAGTACTACTTACGTTCAATCCAATTTCAGGAACAGTGTAATTGCCGTACTGGTCGATAATGCATTGTGCTTTCTTCACGAAAGCTTCTCTTGTTTCCTGTTCCCACCAATCAACCAAATTTCCATTCTTATCGAACTGCCTTCCCTGGTCGTCGAATCCGTGCGTAATTTCATGACCGATAACGAAACCTATAGCTCCGTAGTTCATGTACTTAGGACGATCGTTATTGAAGAACACGCCTTGCAGAATGCCAGCGGGAAATTCTAAACCACAAATATTAAGATTGCTTATCCACTGAGGTTGTTATCTATATACGTACGTATGCTGTTTTCAATAGATGAATAGAAAGCGTTTACAACTGCTGGTCTTCCATGAGTGATCCATTCGCTTTTATTGACAGGTTGTCTGAGCCTATTGAATGAATAATGTGTGCCGAATAAAGTCATATTCAATATGGACTTAAAGTAATTGTTCGGCTCCAATTCTAAAGACTCGTAAAACTCTTCCAGCTTAGTGGTATTGAGTAATTCGTCTGGGTAAGCGATATGGGTTGCCATCAAATCCACTTTTTCTAAAGCACTTTTTCTGGTAACATTGTCCATCCAATCGACTTGCTTTACGATCTCCTTAAATTCGGAACGAATGTCCGCCACCATTTCGATGGCGTTGCGCTTCGCGTCTTCGTTAAAGTATTTCTTGACATACAAGGCGCCAGCTGCGATCGAAAGACTGCCAGCAGAAACATCGATGCATTCCTTCCATCTGGGAGCGCGTTCAGTTTTACCGCTCAGGATGGTGCTGTATTTCAATTGCCTGTTCTTCAGCTCTTCGGTTAAGTAACTCGCAGAAGAAGCCGCCGCTCTCCACATCAAATAATTAGCTTGGGTACTGAAAACATTGCGCGTCAAATAAATACAATTGAAGTTTTTTCTTTATATGAATTACCGTTTAGGTGTTGTAGCAATTAGATTTTCAAAATCGCTGATAAATTGCGGTACACTGACAATCACGATCTCATCAGCTCCGATTTCAAAATCTAATGATAGGAGTGTATTTAGATATTTCAACCAAGGAATGCTTGGATATTTGATTTGTAATTGACCGACGGTCATTGGGTTGTAGAGTGAAGTTGCGTTACGGCGTTTCTCGCTGGGCAATGAAATCTGTAAACATATTATTAAATGTTAAGTATTAATATTCATTTGATTCAGAAAAAGTTGCAAATTTACATTGGCAAGTTTCATTTCGAATTCTAAAGATTCCTTGAGTTCTTGTTGAGCCCTAGAACGGTCAGCGCCAAAAATAACGGCGATGTCGACCATGTATTCATAGTAAGCTTGCACCAGTTTGTCTTCCATGCCTTTAATAAGGAATTCTCGTCTTAATCCCAACGAGGATTGATCCAGCTAAAAGTAAATATTATTTGTAGGGTAATTTTGTTAGCGATTTCTTGTAACTGCTTCTTACATCGATGATGCGTTTGGTGGAATTTTTTAAATCAATTCCGACCGAGAAATCTATAAAGTAGTCGACGCTGTAACCCACTTTCCTAAAATTATACACGGCTTGCTTCCAATCGAAGTCCTCGTCTTTCCAGTTGTCGCCGTCAAGGACGGGCCATCCGCCTATGCTAGAGAATATCTCTTTGATCGGTTGAAGACCCTCATTTTCGATCTTAGTTTTGTTCATGCAGGATTGGTAGATGAGCTTTGTCAAACGGAAAGGTTTTGCTTCTTTCGGTTGGATGGGCTCCTCGATCATGGAACGAAGTTGTTCCAATAGAGTGTCGCTGATAACGCTGAATGAGGTCACCGAAGATTTGTCATCGGGAATGTTGGTTTTCTTGACAAAACTACCGCATGCGAATTGATAGAAGTCATCGCACGGATCCACGGATTGGTCCATAGCTTCGAGAACCTTGGAAGCTGTATGAATGCAGCCTGGGGTGAGGCAAATGTCATCGTAGTCTTTCTTGGTCTGATCAACTGTGTTTGGAGGCGACGGATTGCTGGTGCCAAGTAGAGCTTCAGCGTTGCGAACTACCGAAAAGAGATAGTTAACTTTAATGCAAAATGCGACCACGATGAAAATTTTGAGAGCTCCAGAAACGTCTGTCATCCTTCTGTCATTTTGATGTACAGTTTATTTACCTGATTCATCAGTGCTAATCCTGTTTTTGTATAATACTGTCGCCAATGCAATGACCAGCGAGATGGATATTACAATCGTGACGACGGATAGCAGCGTCAATCCTCGTTCCATACCAGTTCTCCTCTTCCACCATGTTGGATTCCTGTAACGGACATTAAAAATAACACCATTTAGTTTAATCGAAAGCTATTCCCATTTTCGGAACAAATGGCCAAAGCCGTGACAAATTACCAATTGCGAAACCATATATGATGCTGCTTCGTGCCGCTTGATAAATTGGCATAGCTTATTTCCACGTCGAAAACCATATCGTTGCCGTCAGTCACCGCAAATGTTTTTTAATGCACTGAACGTGTATGTATTTTCATATTATGTCGACTGTTTACTCAGTTTATTTGCATAATCATGAAGCACCCATATGGTACAAATAGACGCGCGCATATTATTTAATTAGCAGTAGATTTAATTAGAATTATTCGAATCGCAAATAGTCGCACAATAAACAAACGTATTCTTTTTCAGGGTGCATCAAATGCACTAATTCCTATTTAGTTCAATTGATAAACGGATCGATACCTGGAGCATTGCATCTTATACAATTTCATATTTGAATAATACACTTTGCCGCAGGTCAGGTATTCTTTCAACCCAGTTAAAGAGACACAAACTGTTTCGTTATTAAACTGAACGAAAACACCAATTATTTAAATATTCAAGTATAATTTACGGGGAATCACTATTATTTTAGGAATCTCCGATATCCATGTAACTATACACATCTATACCGCGAATTATGCAAATTGGAAAATATAATTTATCGACTTTTAGCATCATAATAAAAATAAGCTTACTAGTTTTTTTTATTATTATTTAAATTGTCCGTTCGTCGTTATTAAGTATAATTCTATAAAAGTATACGTTCCAATTACATAAATTTTAATAATATTTGTGACAAACATGTGCACTGGATGTGCGAGTCCAATTATTTACGTATTAACACGTTCCCCATTCGCGCTTCAATATTTTCATCAATTATAATCTCATTATAATTTCGCTGCTCTTTTTTTTGTATTCCGGCTACATTATTAATACGTTGTGTAACAGACACCGTGTAAAATTGTAAATAACCCAACGATTTCGCGCTATTTTCGCATTTATTTATAATTATATTCGAATCCAAGGATCCTCAGGTCAACAATCCATTATATTTAATTTATTTTTAAATTCTACACAGTTATATTTCGCTTTGTGTTCATTTCTGCATCCTCAAGGATTCTTCAAGAACATAATTATACAAACTATTTAAAATTAAATTAATAAAAATAATCTGTTTTATCTTATTCTGAGAAATATACAGAATAAGTTTTTATTTATAACTTGAATTTTAAATTACCTTTTTTTGCATTCTTGCATTATATGTCTTTTTGTATGCTTGTATATATTGAAAATCATTAACAAAGTGAATTTTAACAATGGAAGGAACAGGATTGCACGGTATTTAAACTTCGCCTATGGCCTTAATAACAGTTAACAAAGCAAATAAGATAATGACTATATTTTTTACATCACGAGTTAAGAAAAAAGGGTACAGTATTATTTTATGGCGTGTTTATTTGAAACTTAATTATTTATGCGGTTTTAATTACTTTAGGAAATATTTACGACGTCTGAAACTTTTAATTAAAGTCATTTAGATTTAAGTAATTTTATACAGACAGATAAATCATAATAGTAGCATTAAAATAACATCTAAGAACGAGTAAATAACAAGGAAATTTCATCTGCAAACATTACACATCCTGTAATAACAATGCGATTTATTGCATAGGTAGTTATAGTATTTACTTTATGTAAACAGCAAAGAATGTGTACACGTTGTGATAAGGGGTTGTTGGTAAGTCGCATTAAATAAAGCTTTCTAAATAGGAAAGTTCTTCGTTAGATCCTATTCACACCAGTTAGTTAAGTGTCTCGACTCGTTTCCATTTGTTTTCACTGATGTACTTTTACAATTCAACATAAAAAAATATTGATTTTATAAGAATATCTTTGATTGTAATGAAAGAAAATGGAATTCAATAATAAATCTTTTCCAGTGTGCAATTACTGAATAATGCATTTTCCATATCATTAGAATTTATTGAATTTTCTTTTATTTCAAGTGATGATCTAATCGCACACCTCGATAATAATGCCAAAACTATCAGCCTCGACATTTCACGAGATTACTTTCTTCAATCGATATCTCACCTAACATTTCACCTTTATTTATATGGTATAAAAGACAATTACAATATTTGATATCCTGATTGTAAAACTAAATTTAATACTGCTTTGCTTTTGCAAATACTAGTAATTACGTAATGCAAAATCGAAATAACATGATTTTAAATACATTCAACAACAGACAAAAGTTAATTGCTAAAAGTATTTTCTCAGATTTTAAGTAGTTCTTGGAAAATCAACAAATATAAGAACAACATTTCGAAACTAATTAATTATTTGATGAGTATAATCGAAGGATAATGTTGAATTTCCTATAAGATCTATTAATCAATTACTTAAAGATAAATTTCATACAAAATAAAGAAATACCAGCAAAAACAATGATGTTTTAGTATTAAGAAAAATGAAAATTCAATACAAACTAAATTTTAAAGTAATTACTTAATATTGCTTTAGTTTGCAAAGACTTGTAATTATGTAAACTGCAAAATCGACATAACAGGATACTAAATACTTTCGACAACAGATTAAAGTTAATTGCTAAAGGTATCTTTGTTTATTCTTATGCTTTATGTGTATGGAGTAAATAATTATTTAACATGCCTTGATGATTTGTCCGAAACAAATACAATGTATTAAAAAAAAATACGTGACTTCTGAGAAAAGGCTGTTCACCTTTAGTCCTCCAACATATTTAATTAGTATTCAGCTGAAGATAATGAACAAATCGTTAAAATGATTACTGTATACTGAACGTTTTAGAATAGTAATTAACTTAACTTAACATGCCATTAATAATTCAAGCTTATGCAAAATACATTTTTTTTTGTTATTTAAGAAAAAAAGACATAAATATATGAGATTTAAACGTTATTTCGTGATATTTAGGAAATATTTTAATCTTGTACTGTTATATGAACTTATATAAATATATTGTTTATGAGAAGTAGATACACAGTAAATACATTAAATTATTGAAATTAGAAAATACTTCTCAAATTTTAATTAGTTCTTGGAACAAAATTTCTAACGTTACAAATAACTAGGATTTACTATAAATTTTTAGTTATAAATGATTTGAAAACTATTATAGAAAGATAATATTAACTTAAATGCAAATTTCAAACAAAATAATCATCTACCAGCAAACATACAGATGTTTTAGCATTAAGAAGAAGACAAATTAAACGTCTTCGAAAAGACTTTAAACAATTAACAAAGCAATTGAACGTCAGCAAATAAACTTCCATTGTTGTTTTTAGTTTTGTTCGCCAAGAACTAATATGGTTCATCTGGCGGAAATTGCTTCTGCGTCCTTTAATTGCACTCTTCGATTGGATGTGCACATTGTTTGTTTTATATCCAATTTACTTTACTTATTTTTTTTTATCTTTAGCAACTTCTATTTACCATTTCAGTACAAAATAATAATCTAAAAAAACGATTGTAAAATGAGTGTGTCGCAATTTGTTGCACGATAACCTTTGATCCTAGACAGATTTTTGTGTACACGTATTTATTTGTCAACAGCATGGTTCAGCAAAGATTAATTATCACACTAATTAGATCATAATTTTAATATGCATGCATATTTATCTACAAAAATACATCAATTTAATTATTGTGTGATGTGATTATATTGTTTGAGCAAGCATTTTGTTGAGACTTACACTTGTGTTATTGGTAAAGATCATTCATTCAAGTAATATCTTCTACAGACGTTGCTTAACTTTTCTAAGCTATTAATCGCTAAATCCTATTTACTACTTAAATTGGAATATTCCACAGAAATTAGACAGTTTTATATCAATAAAAGTAATAGAAATGAGACGTATATCAGAAACGGTCAATCTATGTTTGCATATTGTACGTATCAATATTTTATCTATAAAAAAATATTTACTTGCAAAAATTGGAGGAATACATATTTGCTGTCGAAAACGTGAAGTATTTACCAAAAAAAGTAGAAGAACCGTATTTTAAATTTGCTTAACTGTAAGGAACGGACGTTTTAGTGAGTACGTAATAATCGATAGAGTCAATACGAATTTCAATATTTCTCATCATCCTTATTTTCACGCATTTCCTTAATGAAAACCTCATCGAACTCGAACCATCATTGGCGAAAGAGCAAACAATTAATAAAGCTTGTTTTGTACTATAAATGTTACAATTCTATTTAAATAATATAAATGTGCCTTAGTGAATTGAATAATTGTAGTTGGAATATACCTAGTTGAATAATTACAAAAACCATCATTGATCTAAAGCGTTGCGAAAATAAATTAAATTCACGTAAATCTTTCGGTGCATTTACAACAGTCGACACGCGATAATAAATATTATAAGTCTATTTATATAATCCGAGTGTGTCCTAGTGAATTGAATAATTGCAGTCCGAATAAATCCGATAAAAATAAATGGTTATTTTAAGTAAACAAACTGGATGTGTATTCATTAATAAGTCAGTTGATTTGCGTAGATAGAGGAGCCTCGTTCCATTGCCAAGATATCGGGATGTATACGAAATTAACACCTCCTACGATGATTCGAAAAGTTGAAGAGAAAAAAAAACAATAAAAAAAATATATTTTTTTTTGCTTCCAATTATGAATCTCTCGCATGCTGGAAATCCTGTTGTATAATGCACGAGATATGTATGTTTATGTTGCTCAACGAGCATTACGGCTCGCATGCATCGAAATAATCATTTAACTTTATTTAATAACACCGATGTATACAAAAAAAACACATACAGACAGACAGACAAAAGAAACAAATAATAAAGGAGAGTATGAAAAATGTGAAGGACTCTCGGAACTGTCGTCAGAGGCTATTGAATAAAAATACGAAACATCATATAAAATAAATGTATTTGCGGTAAAATCAAGTCTAAAAATACGTCTAAATTTAATC